TAATGATGTTTTGCGATCCATGTTGGAAAATAATCGACATTTAAAAAGTCGAGAAATTGCAAAAGAGTTAGGCATTCATCATACATTTGGACTTACATTTTTACGTAATCAGACCTATCATCTGCAAGCTTACGCCTCCACATAGGCGACTTTTAATATAAGGCGAGTAAAAGAGGAAAATTTTAAGACTAAGTAAGGTTCAATGAACAGAGGTACTTAGAAAAGTGCGAACTAAAAATAATTATTCTAATTGCCCTGCTCGTGACTGTCGAAATTTCCGTATGGTATTTTCATTATACGTATTGTGGTTCAGTTACAGGAAGTAAAATAATTTGTGCGAGAAAGAGGAAAAAGATTTGAAAACATGTTCTCTAGCAACTTTTCGCCTAAGGTGGGAAATGGGTCGAGGTCATCAAACAAAGATTTTTACGTAAAGCTAATCGTAATAAGTCCAATAGGTTGCCCATAGATAACATAAAGCTATGCGAACCCTTCGGCGAAGAAGTTGCAAGTTGTTTAAGAGCGCTAGTTAGTGGCCTTAGCTTCTCCTCCCGAATCTACTTTTATAGAATGAATCAGAGATCTTATGCCTTGTAGTAAAAGGTCTGGGGTTCTTTGGTTTTGAATATGTGCTATTTACAAAAATATGAACAATGATGACTGTAGTAGAAAGTTACTTTCTTTTTAACGGTTAAGAGCTCAACACTTTTTTGATTGTATTGTATTTTAGTTTGAGTTTATCAAGAAACTTGCATTGCTAAAAGTTAATATAAATTTCGTGCTTGTTATCATCATTTATTTCCATTATTTCCAGTTTTAATACTTTTTATTTATTTTCAATTACTTTTTTTTTTTTTATTATTCGTTAATTTGTAATTAATTTATTTAATTTTAGACATACTCAACCGGTTAGCTTTTTCCCTCGAAAAAATAAAAAAAACAAAACAAACCGCAAGTAAGTTATATTCAAGTAAGAAAGTTTTATATGCGTTAATTATAATTTTCGGGTTATCCTGATAGATACGTTAATCGAATTTGTAAGCTGTTGATACGGGTTGTGATGGCCGCTAAAATTTAAGTCATATCCTGGATTTTAATAGGTTTTGCTTTTTTTACCTATTATGGACGACTTAAGCAGTCGGTTCAGCTGCTTTCTCAAATTCTTTTTTTAAATCCTCGCTAAGAGCATTTACGAGAAGTTTCAATTTTTTAGGGCTAACTACCTGACTTACATTGATCGCCGCAGTTCGACCCTGGCCTGGTGGCCTAACATTAAGCAAAGAACGTCGGCGCTGGCGCTAAGCAAAACTCAGTGTCTCGCATAGGTTGACAGGACCGGAGCCATGAGAACTTGCCTCTCGAATGCCGTAGATGCCCTGCCGGGTATGATACCTCACGCTATAGCTGTACAAATGGAGGCCAGGCTCAGCATGCTCAAACTGGTTTGCCAGACTTAACCGGATAATTTTAAGGGTCGTTTGGAAATGCTAAGGGATACTATAGACGAACCCGCTATGAAAGTGCATCTCCACTGTACCACATTTTTTTCTGTCGTGATTTTGCGGCTTGGAGACCTTCAAAAATGAAAGTACAGATAGACGAATATGGGCAGATCTACTTTAATTCGGTGTACATTTGTGGATGTTATGAACGGAATGACAAATTTAACATACCTGTGTTCCATATTAGTGGGCGTATATTGAGATATACGTATTTACATAGATATATTTATATATATATAAGAATATTCATGTACGTGTGTGCATATATATTTATATATGTATATATATTTTTTCATATTTATATATATAAATATATGTTCTAGTGGCTAGATCGAAGCAGTAAAATTCCAGTTTAAGTGAATGTGTGCGCCGAATTCGAATGTTTACTAAAGTATTAAAATTTTAATTAGGTTTTTTTTATAATTCTCTTATCACTAAAATCGTATATATGTTTTTTTGACGACAATAAAACAACAACCAACAGTCATGCGCTTTACTGCGAAAAGAAAATAATAATAAATATAAACACATACGCGTACATGCTGTACATTTATAAAATAAAAATTATCAGGCATTCGTTTGACTTGTAAGCGACACCTGTTAAAGACCGACACTTTGCAATGACGCAATGATGAATGTCCCGTCTAAACGCATTTACAATGTTAAAGGTTACGGCGAGACATACATTTCACTATATAAAGACTTGGTAATTTTATGCGGTGTTAAGGTCGGTTGCATAGGGATCTGTTTTGACGCCTTTATGCATTTATTTAATTTTTTTGTTTTGTTTTTGTTTTCTTTATTTAATCGTTATCTTTAAAAATATTAACCTTGACTTTGAGTATTAACCACGTTTCTTAATGTCGAAGCTGTCAGAAGTGAAAAAAAAAAAAAATCAGTTAAACTTAATAAACGAAGTGTGCTGCTTATCACAATACAACAACTATTTGCAGTAAAAAAAAAAGAAAGTAAAAATAAAAAACATTTGTAGCGCAAATAACTGGGTGACAGATTTTTAATTCTGTTATCAATTTATTTCGATGCTTTTCCTTTCGCGTTCCGATCGATTTATCAAAAGTCAAATCTAGACCCTACAGCGTACCTCAATATTTTGTTGATTGAAAACCCGCTTTCTGTAGATAGTAATGTTTTATAAAAATACCTTTTTTTATTTGTTTTTCATGAAATTGCTGATAAAGGCTAACCAAACAGCCAGAACTTACATAAGCGATTACTTCATGGCGCTACTTGCCGCACTTTTTGAACTATACTCCCTTGGGAAGTAAGAGATTTCACTTTGTTTGCAAAAAAAAAGGTGCTCATCCTCGTGACAGCACTTTACCTAGCTTGTAAATGTTGATTGAAAATTTTCCGTTAGGTTAAAAACAAAAGTCAACTAAGTACATTTCCCGTTTCTCAAATAAAATCCTTTATCTTCTTCCTTATACATATGATTATATATTACGGCGCCGACGAACGAACGAATAGCGATTGCTATTCGAGAAAATGGAGGATGATCGTAAGACCAGGTTTAAAGGCATTAACGATACTTTTCCTAACTTTCCTTTTTGATTTTCTTTCCCTTCAACCTGTCCTCAATAAACCAAAAACTTAATTGACTTATTTACTTGTTTTTCTTCTTCGTCTTTTTGTTTACTTGTTTTCTTTACTTTAACAAAAAATGGTCGCTTTCGAACAGATTGACCGGTTTTTAACAGAAAGTGTCCGCTTTTAATATGTAATAGCTAACAGCAACATATAATCTCAAAGAACAATTTTCTTCTTCTTCTCTTTCTTTACTTTGTTTACTTTAGAAAAAAACAGCTAATGTTTTTTTTGTGACAAATCTAAGAAATTTCCGGTGAGTGAAGGAAAAAAAGTAAATCATCGCTTGGGCCATGTCACGTTTACAGAGAGTTGTGAGAAGAATTGTAACATGTCCTATAGACAGACACAAGCAACTTAAGAAGCCCCGTTCGTAAATATGTAATGGGGCTCGTGGAGGGAGCAGTGGAGATGGTCGTTTGCCTCAACAGACTTGTTATGTATATAGAAATATAGTATACTATATATGCCAATTGGGATGGACAGAAGTATATTTATTTACCTTTACAGAGCTGTTGTAAAAACACGTACAGATTGCAGATCAGCGATCATTTGAAGAAGACATTTGACGCAAATAAATTAAATATGATATTTTACTGTTAGTTTCGAAATATGGAGATTCAAACATAATTAAAAATCAAAATAATAAACTTAGTTAGTAGATGTTTTATAAACAGATCAATTTATTTCGTTACCATTTCCTTCCCGTAGCATGACTTTTCGAACTGAATAGTTCGATTTCCATAATGTCTTATGGATGTGTGTTTACTGAATGCACAAAAACAAATATCTATGCATCTGTTTTGCGATGTGTCAGTTGATTTACTTTTCAATATTTCTAAACCTTGACCGACTTTCATGAAGTCTGTATAAAGGACTTAAGCATTTCCGCAAAACTACAAAATTCCGTAATGTAGGAAAGACAAAAAGGACAAAGGACAAGTTCGCTGAATTTTTAAGAGACTGTTTTCACTTCACTTACACGTGATGAAATGTCAATATTTTTGGAACAATGCTGGTATTTTCCATTCAACAGACATAGCAACAACAACAACAAGTAGCCGGCAGCTTGTTTATATGTTTACTTTGATTATTGTATATGAACTCAAAAGTAAACATTACAAACTCTGGTGTATTGAATATTTTTTATTATCTCACACACATAACACGTCATTTTATACGCATGAAACGTGTAACTAATTTTTACTAACACACTAATACGCTAATACAGCAAAAACAAAACAACATATTTTAGATCAGAGATATTCAACCGGTGCAAGACGCGCCTCTCTAATGAGCGGCGTCATTGTGAGAAGAGGAGGTAATCTTTTTTTTCTTGTTTTTCTATGTTATTCTTCTTCTTCTGTTGTTCAGCAAATTAACAGCCGAAAAATCGCTGGGATGTGTAAAGCATACATTTTGAACTTGAAAGCATAAAAAAGAAAATGCATGGATGCCGTCACCAGTTGGTTTTTCAAACAAAACAAAAACAAGTAAGAAAATTAAACTCGGTCGGGACCGAACCTTTTATACCCATCACCGTCATTCTAATAATCGCGAAAGACGTAAAAGGGTAAAATTTTCATGCTCCATAATATGGAGTGTGCGCAGCTGATTGCTTCTATTTTCAAAATAAATGTTTTTGACGTATAGGCATGTGGGCGCTGTAGGCGTCTACTTTGAAAAGCTTAGGTCAATTAGAAATCCTTCGCAAATTTTTTAGGCGATATCTTCATATTCGCTAACGGTAGAATGTTTACCACGATACCACAGATAGACAGACGAATAGGCGAACATGTTTAGCTGCAAATTTGAAACTGGTCAAGAATTTGTATACTTTTCGGGGTTTCTGTCCGTTATAAAGGTATTGGAAAAACAATGACATTTTGATACACTATAATATTGGAAAGGCGCGGTCAATTTTTCCTTCAAATTTTTGTACATTTATTTGCTCTCGTTTATGAGTAATGAGCAAAACATCAATTTTTAATTCCCTTTGAAAAGTAGATGTATTTTCAACTATGGACGTGTCCTTTAACCGGTTTGGCCCTTTTTCACTACCAAGTTTACTTTTACGGCCAGGAGAATGTTTACAACAGATATTGCATAGACGCACGGACGGACATGCTTAATCAAATTTAATACTGATCAAGAATAGACACATATCCTGTGTGGTCTCTGATGCTTTCGTTTGGAAGTTGCAAACGTTTAGACGAAATGAATATACCGCTCATCCTTCGATGACGGGTATAAAAAGAGAAAGATTTTCAAATAAGCACTATTTTTGCGCGGTCACAACTTTATTTAGAAATTCGTAGGTGGCCGACATAGTAGCATAACGATTGAAAACCTCTGCTTTATATTGCTGTACGTGCTGTTTGATGCGTCTCGCTTTTTTATCATTCATTATGCGTTATGCGTGTCGTGGCTAAATACAAAACAGATGTTATGTGCGTGTGTATATGTGCAAACGTCTGTTAGTGTTTATGATAACAAATAAAATAGTGCTGTTTTGTCTATAGCTGCTTTCTTAAAGAAATACAAAACACATTATTGCAAACATAGATATGAATTTATTTATAGACACGATTGTCATTGGAAAAGCACGAGAATTCCCATAAACATTAAAATTCTTTAGATTATTTACTTATATAAGCAACAAAAATGCAAAAATTACGCTCTTCTTATTTTTATAATAAAAATTAAAGTTTATCTCGAATTTCTGTTTACTCTTCAGTTCGCCAACGCTTTAAAGCGGAGGGAAAAGAAAAAGAACGAGTAATTAAATGTAGATACTTTGAACAAAAGATATGAAAAAGCAAACAAAAAACCATAGATAAGACATATTGATAAAAACAAATAAAAAGAATTTCCCTAAATATACTCTCGCAAAAGAAATTTTCATAATTACATTTGTTTTGTGGTATTTAAAATATGCTTTCGTGTTAAAATCCATTATCATATGTGGTTTTTTTTTATATTAAAATCCACTCAGCAAAAAGCTACAGATGTAGGTTTATGTTTGCGTCTTTTGTTTCATTTTAAAAAATCCAAATTTCACGAAGGGAAATGGAAGAGACTGGCGGTAAGGGATTACAAATTCGTGAGCTTATGAAAAACAGCTCGTTTTTTATTGGAAAAATGAAGTTTAGAAAAGTAGTTTAAAAAAACAATTTTTAGTATTATTTTGGTTGGAAACATCCATGCTTACGACAGTTACATTTGTGGATTTTGATAGGCTTTTAAAAAAGCAAATGGAGAATGTATGTGTAAAAAATGTTATAAACAACAGACAATATGTTTTTTGTAAGGAGTCTGTGTTTTGTTTTTAAGTTTTTTTAAATTATTCATTTAATTTATTTATTTTGCTTATTAAATTGCACTATCTTCTTTTGTTCTGTTGCTGTTTTTGTTTCAATATCATTCGTTTATTGGGAACGGACTGGCTGCCTGATTATCACTTGGTATTTTCATGTTGTACGTTACAATCTCTAGATGGCTCTTTAGTTATAAACTGAAATGCTTCTTTTTTTTCTCGTTTTTATTAAAAGTCAAGCAAGTAATTAGTGCACTTTTTTACAGCTTTGTCTACTAATTTATTTTTACTTGCTTAGTGTAGAACAATTTTTATTTTAAAGATTTTAGTTTGTATATAAAATAGTTTTTCCCTTTTTTAATTAATTAAAAGGTAATAACATAAATATATGTGACTAAAATAAAGTGAAAGGTTGTAAATATTTTGCTACCTTTTTTTGAAAAATATAAACGACAAACAAGTGAAAATTCTTACTGAAATATTTTATCAAGAAATTCGCTAAATTTGGGAGGAGAAGGAAATCCATAAACACACAACAAAAAGACAAAAAGAAAAAAAAGAAAAAAAAAGAGAAAAGTTTCTCAATCAAAGGCAACTTAATAAACCGCTCCATGATTTTTACTACAACTAGCGTCAAATATATTTAATATTTCAGTTTATTAAGATATTTTGTGCCAGACAAATGATTGTGTCGCAGTGGTGGGAAAATATAAACATACTTTAGTCTTCTTTTGATATCTGTGTATTTTTGTGTATTTCGTGCATTCAAAGAAAATGCCACCCGTTGAGTAAGCATCTAAACATCAGATAAAGATAGAAAAGTATTTTTTTTTTTTATTTGCACAAAAAGAAGAAGGCAAAGGTATTTGCAAAAAAAAAATCTGATTAATTATGAAAATTTGAAAATATGTCTTAATGTGTGTGTACCAACGTCATTATGTCATTTATAAATATATGGCAAGAACAACAAGTGCATTAATAATAATAAGTGAGGGCCGCACTACTTCCGACACCCATGCATGCAATTAGCTTATAAAGAATCGAATAATTGCATTCCAATAAACTGAACTTAATTGTGTTCAATTCTCAGTTCGTTACCATAAAAAGACGCCTTCTAAAGAAACTACAGTTCTTAAAAGGTTGACATAGTCGGCAGCTGAATAAATGTTTGCAAGACAGTATTAATTGCTTATGGAATTCTTTATTCCAATTTTTCTATAAATGGTTTCCTATATATTTTGCACCATGTGTCTGTTTGAATTTATGAAAATGACGTCATAATTATTTTTAGTTTTATCTTTTTCTAGTCGTAATTTACATACGCACGCAGCTGGCCGTAAGCGAATGCACTTGAATGGACTTTCATTGATAAATGTAATATTGATTTGTTTTTATTATTATTGTTGCTGTTATTGTATGTACACATTTATGCATACTTTTTTATTATGATGATCATATCTAATATAAATTTATGCAAAATTAAGATTTTTCTTGTTCAGTTCAAAACAATTTAAATGAGAGAGAATTTCGAATTAACATTATGTCATAACTGCGCTCTTATACTCTACATCAATCAATTTTGATAAAATGATGGCTTTATTTTTTGTAAGTTTACAATTGATAATAATAGATGATTAAGAAAACCCAAAACTCTTTAATTGCTATTATGTAACCGTCTAGCATCTTCCCGTTTGCGTCCGCACTTGCAAACTAAATGCACGGTGTTATGTTACGTATGATTACAACCATTGCTACTTCTTTTATGTGCTTTGAAACGCTTATCGGCGAATAATAATTTCATATACCAAAAGTACCCATTACCATTACGAACCGGTTAAATTGATAGACCGCTGATAAGAAACTAGTTTCACGCAATTTTAGTTATCCCTCTCTCAGTCTCTCTCGCTCCCTTTCTCTTTCTCTCCACTTCTCTCACAATTTAATCACCTGTTGATATATATTCATATAAATCGCTAGAAAGAAAGCACACCGAAATTTCTTTCTTGCCAATCTAATACATATGTCCGTTATCAGCATGACATTCTAAGTCTATTTAGATAGATTCGTCAATTTGTCTAACATTGCAAATTTCGTGATCATTGAACCGAACAAGCACCACAACAGAAGCACGGAAAACAAATTCCAAATAAGAAAAATTATATTCGCTTTAGAACGAATCACTGGTCCTCACCATTTCAAACGGCAGCGTTAGGTCTGTGAGATTTGTCAATAGCGGCCATTTGCGCACCTGACTTCTATTCAACGTTAGGAAATGTTTATGTTTAGATATATATTTCATACAATTTCTTACCGTTTCCCGCTTTCTCAAACGACTCTATTATGCGAAATCTTTTTTTGAAAGTAAGCGATCAACTTCATCGCATTACGTTCCATTTCGACATTAAATTTTAGTTGGCCCTACCAAATATTTTTGCTAGTTTTGAGAGCAATATTTTTGATAGACCGCCAATTTTGGTTTTCTACCAATTGTACACGTATTTCTTCCCCATCTCATAATTTTCATCCACTCAGTACTTGATGCGGGTACATAAGAATATAGGCGTGCCGGTTCGCCGTTTGAGATTATTTTTATAAATGCATCTTAGGACATCTTTTTAGAAGATGTTGGACAAATGTCTCCTATAAACTAAAATATCTGCGGATAAGGTTAAGGGCTTACTATACCTGCAGACAGACTTGCTTACATGATTCAGAATTTGGATACTTCTTTCTTCTGAGTGTATTGACGAAATGAATATTTTGATCAAAAGCTTGCGATCAATAAAAGATATTGATCTGAAACTTCGGTTGTGTATGTGTTAGCTCTGTGTAGAGAATTCAGAGAAAGTCAGTAAAGAAAAGCCGCATCTAGTGTATCATTTTTGCTCGATGATTGGTATAAAAATTTTGAACGTATTTCATTAGTTGTGGGCGTGCCACTAGGACGATGGGGATGGTTCGTGGACCGGGATTTTAGGAGAAATCTTTGCACCTGTTTTTGTACATATGTAGTTTTAGAGACCTATTTGTATAGATGGTACGTTGTGTTTTTAGCTATTGTAAGCGTAGATCTGGGAAGTATCATCAGATGGACGTCGCTAAATTGAAGTTAGCCATCTGAGTATTTTTAGATGTCTGGTATATGTACATCTTTCGTCAGCGAATATCAATCTAGTAGTAAAATAAATTTCCTACGAGGCTTTCTGTGCAAAAGCTGATTGTAATGCTTAGGTTTTGCTATAAGCCTCGGTAGATATTAGGTGTAGTGTTGAAACTCTACTATTATTCCTGAGCTTATCCATATAATGTAAATCTGAAATTTTATCATAATTTTTAAAATCATTTCCGCAATGAGTCATGCACACCGTGGGCTACACTTCTATTTTGAGTAGTGGTCTGTTGCGTAAAATATATTTGGTCTCCATTTAACAGTGAATCATACACAAACAGTAATAACTGAAATGCAGGCCCTTTTCGCTTGAAAGAAACTTTCATAATTTAGTTCAAAAGTACGTAAACTTTGTTTACACGTTAAAAGCACAAAAATGTTTGCTGACCTAAGAGGAAATTTTAAGTAAAAAAAAAGAAGAAAAATAAGTTATTTATGCAACTAAATTCCTCTCATTAAAATCAAATTTCGTATTTAAAACTTCATTTTGCAGACTACAGGCAGCTAATATGTCATTGGGGGCTATGCATTGCACCCGATGTGCAGAGGGTTTTGAACCCAACGAAAAGATAGTCAACTCTAACGGTGAACTATGGCACACGCAATGCTTTGTGTGGGTTTAATATTTTATAATCAAATGTCTCTATACTAATAAATAATTATATGTCCGTAGGTGCGCCCAATGTTTTCGAGCTTTCCAAGATGGCATTTTCTATGAATTCGAGGGCCGCAAATATTGTGAACGTGATTTTCATGTGCTTTTTGCTCCTTGTTGTAATAAATGTGGTGAATTTGTTATTGGTCGTGTAATCAAAGCGATGTCAGCCAGTTGGCATCCTCAGTGCTTCCGTTGTCAAATGTGTGCCAAAGAGTTGGCCGATTGCGGTTTCATTCGCAATCAAAATCGTGCCCTATGCCACGAATGTAATGCCAAAGTTAAGGCCGAAATAACAGGACGTTATGTTTGCCAAAAATGCCAGTAAGTAAAAACAAGTGCAGAGAGAAAAAGAAGAAGTGTACTTTTTTACATAGTAGTTAGGACAGTAATCAGTAATTTGATACCTTTCCATGATGGTGGATAATAGCAAAAATTTAATTTTTATTTTAGTGGCCTTATTGATGACGAGCCATTACGTTTTCGGGGTGAAGTTTATCATGGTTATCACTTCAATTGCACAGCCTGCGGAGTTGAATTGGATTCAACAGCACGTGAAGTAAAAAGTCGCCCCGGTTTGGCAGCTAATGATATGGTACGCATATGTAGGAAATATTTCAAAAGATCGATCAATAATGATTTTTTACTTTCTTCATCAATAGAATGAATTATATTGCCTGCGTTGTCATGATAAAATGGGTATACCGATATGCGGAGCTTGTCGTCGACCTATTGAGGAACGTGTCGTTACTGCTTTAGGCAAACACTGGCATGTTGAGGTTTGTTTCTTCTCAATCGTTCAAATTATTAACCAGTTAACTTTGAATGACGACTATGTACGTAATGATCCGTCCGTCCGTCCTTTTGGATTTCCTCATAAAATCTTATCATTATGAGAATAAACAAAATGTTGTTGTCAGTTTGTCAAGTCGTCCCATTATTACCAACTAATTTGATATTACACATACTCTGTGCGAGGCGTACAAGAGTATATCGCTAAAGAGGTCGACACTGTTAACTGGTATAAGGAAGTCATTAATAATGGCCGTAAATTTACAGCATTTCGTTTGTGCTAAATGTGAAAAACCATTTTTGGGTCATCGCCATTACGAAAAACGTGGCTTGGCCTATTGTGAGACTCACTATCATCAATTATTTGGAAATCTATGTTTTGTTTGCAATCAAGTAATAGCTGGGGATGGTGAGATTATTTTTTCTTCCTTCCTTCTTAATAAATTTCTGAACTTTACAATTTTTACCCTTTCGTTTCTCAAAATACTAGTTTTTACCGCCCTGAATAAGGCTTGGTGTGTTCATCATTTTGCCTGCTCCGTGTGCGATAACAAAATGACACAGAAATCGAAATTTTATGAATACGACGAGAAGCCCGTTTGCAAGAAATGCTATGAACGTTTTCCCAGCGAATTAAGAAAACGTTTACGCACTGCCCATGAACTGACCATGAAGAAAAATGTTTAAATGTTTAAATTGTCGCCGACGTTATTAACAAAAACCAACAAAAAAAAAACCAATTAATAGTCACGAATGAATGCCGCTAAGAAAGAAACCGTAGTGCCTTAAAAATAAGTCTAATTTACAGAAAAATTAATAAAAAAAAACAAAAGAAAAATAGGAATATATCCTTTTTAAGCGGTTCAACCCTGTCCTTCACATTAGAAAAAGGAGGACTCAAAGATGCTTTATAATGTTCAGTAACTCGATTTTTTTTTCTTTTTTAGTTGGTCTTATTTTCATCTGTATTTAAATGTACGAAAAAAAAGAGTTTTGTGTCAATTAGTTGTTTTAAACTAACCTCCAAAATAGATCTTTTGATCTGTAGGCAATAAATATATATTTTTTTTTGTTTTATTTGTCTAAAAACATCTAGAGAACACTTTACTTATACAAAAGCACACTTTTAATATAAAAAAATTATATATTTTTTTGTTTTCACATAACTACTGACGTATTGAGAAAAGAATAAATTTTTATTAACTTTTAAAACATTTTAAAGATTATATTAAGTCAAATAATGCGATAAAAATTATCTATTTCTTTGCACTTGGGCGGTACCATTACCTTTTGACATCTTCTCATGTTTTTCTTTTAATTTGTAAGGGCTTGAATACTCTCTAAAAATCTGAGAATCTAATAATGAAACGAAAGTGTAATTAGGAAAAGGACGAAATTTTGAAATTTTGAATTTTGGATGTCTTGCATAGCTATAGGGCCGCATAAGAGAACTTTCGTGTGCATATACGAAAATAAGTTGTTGATAGAAAAAATTGTAAACACAGTCAGTCAATATCCCTGCCTGTGACTCGCAAATTTAATTTCAGAATTTAGGCGGGGTCTTCTTTAAATCACGTTTTCGACTTTCAAATCGGCTACGTGGCTAGCTTTCACTTGATCGCCTTGAAATAGTAAGGAAAACTTCGCATAAAAAAAAAATCGTCACACGTCGTCACCACGTTTCGTGAGCATCGACCTTGGAAAATTTTCTAAAAATAGAACTCAAATCGTAAGGGACATTGGCCTACTTAGCTTCGACTGCTACACATCGACTCATCGGGTCAAAAAAATCAAAATGAATATTTTCTGAAAGTATGATTGGGTAGTCGTTAAGGCATTAGTCCAAAAGATGCAAATCGAAACCGTTCTTTTTTTAAATGTGGACCGATGCTCAATAGATCCTAAGTCATATTTTCAAGAAATTTTCGCTTTTCGGTGGTTTTCGCTATAGTATAAACGAGGTCAGTCCAAAAAAAAAAAACAGAAAAAAGATTGTTTTAGGAAAGCTGCAATGCTTCCGTTTATTTTTTAAAATCTGTGGAAGCCATCGTTTTCTTGCACTTTAAGATCGGTATTTTCATAAATAGAAAAGATGGTACACCTAGGTTTCCTACCACAACAAGATTTCAAGGTGATTGAAAATGATTCGATAAGTTTACAAAGCATGTCTTCTTTGGGGCGTGTAGGCCGGATTTTGGCTGGTAGTATAGATCCGTCAGGCATTAGCATTGACCGGGAATTCCTTGCCAGCAGTACTATTGCTGAGAGTGGCCAGCAACCACCATCATTTCAACAATTGCAACAACAACAACAGCTTCAACAATATCAACAACAACTAAATAACTCAAACGTTGGCAGTGGAGGAATAACAGAAACGAGTACATTAAAACACGCTGGTACCCAGTCCAATGCAAACGATGTTGATGTTAATCGCATCCCATCATCGTTGGAAATTTCGTTTAAACAACCTCAGCTTGGTTCGAACACAACACAAGTTCCTGCTTTGTCTACAGAAAACAAAGTCGTCCTTCAAGAACCAGACGTTATAGCGAGCACAAAATTGGCACATTCGAAAACTACCGATTCTATAACGTCAAGCGGGCCAATAGCACCGCCTAGACGTAAGAAAAAATGTAGAAAATTTTCTTCCAGTTCTCCGGAACAATTTAATTTAAATGAAGGTATGCCTTTGCCGGCAGTTGACACAGACACGAACAGCGATGCAAGGTCGGTGAATAGTGTACTGGATGTGCAGCAGAAATTACGTGAGGATCTGGTGAAGGATATAGAAAACAGTTGGGCAGAAACTGCTTCATTGACAAATAAACGAAATGAGATAGTTTTTTGTACTGGCGGATTCTTTAACTCGACTATATTGGGTGTTAGCGGATTTAATGCTAATGCTTCGTCTAATACGGCTTTGAATGCTTCTAACAGTTTGATGGCCCTTCGTCGTCAACAGCATCTCATAGTCAAACATTGACCTGTAATACCGCTTTAGGGGGATCAATTAATCGCATCTCTCATTCTTTGGGTAATAGTTCTATATCAGTATATTCTAAAGCAAGTCCCACTAATTCGGCTAAAAGTAATTCTGCACCTGGCCGTGTCAGGTAAATGATACCCATCCTATTATTTAGGTAAAGGAAGTGGAAACTTCGACACAGCTTGAATACAGTTTTTAAATGTTATATGCTTTGATCGCTGGACGACTTCAAGAAAAACGAAGAGTGAAGAGACAGATGTAGAAATCGGTTGAAAGCATGCAAAAAATCAGGTATGAGATCAATACTTATGAGTATCAGCAGGTTTTTCATATCTTTCACATCTTTATGTGAGTGAAACATATTCGAAGCATTTTTTTTTTTTGGAGGATAGGTAAAGTTACTCTCTGAACTAAGTACAAGTTTTCTTTCCATCAATTATCATTTCAACTTCTCTTTTACGCATTTTCCAATTTCTTTAGGATGTCATGCATTAAATCTAGATTTCTTACTGCTATGATTCCTTTACTATTGCACCTCCAACTACCGTCTATAGAATCGTCATCTGATATATATATCACAGATATAGGTTCACCTTTCTCTATACTAGAGCTAAGGTCAAATATACCACCGTTTAAGGAACGTAAAATTGCTTGAGGAGCACAAGTGTCCCATTTATAAGTGGAACCTTTACTCAAAACGTAAACATCAACTTCACCGGTAATCACTTTTAATGCCTTATGACCGGCACCAGCGGAAAAAGCAAACGCATATCCCAGATCAGACATTTTTTGCAGTAACTCTGCGTGTTCTGAACTAGAAAAGATGCCCATTAAACCGTCATGTGTAGGAATCGTATTTAAGTGTTTACTATGAGCTTTAAAGTCGGGGAAAGCTATGCCCCAGTATAGCGATGATGTATAAATATTCTCTTCAATTTTATTACGGAACGGTTGGGATATAATTCCTATCACGGGAATACCTGTTACACGTTCATAGAGTCCTATTAAAACGGTAACGCAATCCAAACCAGTTGAAGTGATTCCAGGGAAATTTGTAAATATTGTATCGCCAGATATATATTCGGCTGTCGCATCTGGATTAGTAAGGAGAGAGAAACGTGTTGCTTATTTTCGTTGAGGTAGAAAAAATGTAAAAAATTTTCGTTTTACCAATGGGATCAATCCATATACCAAACTGTGTATAATCCATTTCTGGCAATTGCGGTAAGTCTTCATGCATTTCCTTATGAAATTCCACTACTCGATGAACTTCGGCAGCTAAGGCTTTTGCAGCATCTTCGTATTCGCTTTGCAATATTTGCAATAAACAGTCGGTCGTTTCCTCTTCTGTTGCACCTATGCATATGTTTACGGCTTTACCTGTTGCACTGGCAAAACTAGGTGACTCTTCACCTTGAATATTTTCCAGCATTTCTGGAAACTGGAAAAGAAAGAAAACGTCTTTCTCATCTTCATAAGACTTGCTTAGAGAACACAAGGCAATGAGTCGTTTACCTCACCGCCCACATCATGCTTAATAGTTTCTTGTATTAAAACGTCGGCTAAAGTTTTGAAATCATGTTCAAAACGGGCGTTCGCTTCTTTGCCGGTCTTCTCTTGCACCAATAATGCCAGCAGTTGTTCATTGGAGCGACATAGTCGGGCTATGTTAGCGGCTTTTTCAGCGGCATTTATTAAACTGTGCAATAGATTTCTTGAATCAGTCATTGAATCAGTCATTCCAGTGACCTTGTTATTCGTTTTTTAACCTTCAGATGTCGGTATATTAATTAAGTTAATGACAGGTGGAACAAAAAGAAAACTTCACTGGATTCTTGCTATTTAATAATTATTTGTTTTGTTTTTTCCTGCCTTTATGTTCGCAACTTTTTTTTTTTTTTTTTATGAAAAAAGCTTTTTCGTATTGTTATTTTTTAATTAAAGTAATTTTTTGTAAAGTGATTTTCTTTAGCGATTTTAGTGATTTAGCCGTTTCATTATACGTTTTAACAGACTTGCAGTAGACTAATAACTGAAAAAATAAAAATTGACGTTTCCAGATAACTAACATCGAAACGTTGCCTGCTTATAGGTGTTCATGTTAAGTGTTACCAAGTGCTAAAAAAGTTCTTCGAAGTAATTGTAGTAATAACAGTTAATTTGAAACAAATAATCGATTCTTGAGTCGGAACAACAATAACAACATATTCGGTTGGTATCGAACTTTTCTGCAAGTAGGTAGGCAGAGCGCATATGTTACCATATGTGCAACAGACGATAGCTTTAAAGCCATCACATTACTTAACTTACCTAAGACTCAATAACAGTATCCCGTGAGAAAGACACCTAGCGGAGAGATGGTTTTAGCGGACCGCACCTGGAGGTTTAAATTTATTGAGTTTTTTTAATATATAATTGGTGTAGTTAAGCTTGTGATCCATCCATCTAACGTAAAAAAAATCCGGAAAAAAGCTTCAGGAGCTCTACGCTGCTATAAAACATATACCATCTTCATCGGTGCAAAATTCTTATTGTCTCAGGTTTGCCGCCTGTCAGTGCTAAATGTTCTCACAACAACAGAAATTAGGATACCGGCTTCAAATTTGGCAAGAAAGATGTAAGTTCCTGCTAGCAGGTTGACGGCGCCAGCGAACCAAATTGGTCAAGAAATACGACTACAGCGCAGCCCTGAGTAAATAAAGAGCGCTTTGAATTCCAAGTTATGTTTTTTCTTCAATATATTTATAAGTTATAACAAATACGAGGATAAAGATGGCCATATACATTCTATGTATAATTTTGCAGTAGATGTCTAAAAACGAAAAGTTCCAAACGTGCCAAAGTGTGATTTTTTTTTTTAATGAAGGTGTTGGATATCAAAGGTTCAACTATTGTTTAATATGTAGTTTTCTTACTTGTTTAATCTGATTATAGGTAGCAGTGCAAGAATAGGTTCACATAACCGACAAAGCGCCTGTCGGACTATTAGAAGAAACATTTTTATGTAGAACTAGAACACGATGAATTTATAGTGAGTTGTATGGACCATCTTCGCTGGCCATTGGCAAGTTTACTGACGTTGTATCACTTTGGTCCGCTGTTTGTCTGTTGCTCTGCAAACGTGTTGCCTTTATCGTAGAAGATGTGTTGGAGGATGAATGCTTTATGTTTCATTTCTTATCAATGGTCATTCATGTTCGCTGAGAAGTGACTGCTACAAGTTGTCGGTCTCGGCATTTCAACGATTACAAAACTTTCATTCGTTACGTTTTCCTTTCTGATTTGAAACATAGTGCTTTATATATGCGTGTACGTATATGGATACATTTGTGGAAGCTTTATCACTTCTACCTTGGCTGGCTTAGTAATACGAAATCGGCGTTTCTCTCTCTTCTTCAGCAGCTTTTTGTACAATCGCTACAATCGCTAAGCTTCTCTATCCTTTTATAAATTTTCCTTTCATCACTTGATTGCTTTTTGCAAATAAAGGAAATTGATTCACACATCCAATGGAAACAGCTTTTCACGAGCGAAGAGAAGTAATAAACCGAGTAATAAACCGAAGAGAAGTTAAAGAGAATCTTCCAACACCAATTTTGTAAGTAATTTTTATGAAAATACACCGCTCTCTACACCGCTTGTAATAAGTGCCATGGGCAGATAAATCTATCGCTCATTATAGGACTGATTCTCAATCTATTTAAGCTGTTTTGTACGCCTATCTCTTTGCTTGCTTATCTGCTCGCACCTCCGTCCCTTCGCCTCTTTATGCAGTCGTCCGTCTATCCGTTCGTTCCTATATCTGCTCGCCTGTATATCCTTTCGTTCGTATGCCCGTTCATCCATTTGCTTTTCAGTCTATCCATTCGTCCATATATCTGTCCGTCCGTACACTTTCGTTGGTACACCCGTTTTTTCGTGTTTTCATTCATTTGTCTGTTCCTTCGCTCACCCGTCTGGTCTATTTGTCTACTTATTTTTGTGTACAATTTACCTCTAGTAGTTTCCAAAATTGTTTGCTGAAGCTTGATGTACAACAACGTTTTGGTCCAAGAACGATGAACGATGAACGATGAAGTATAGTATTTTGAGTATGTTTGATAAATCAATGCACTATTACTACTATTTGCTAGAACTCCTCCCACATAAATGTCCCTTAAAAAACGTCTTTATAGGACGATAACGGCTAATTTTTAGTAATTTATGATAAAACTTGGTACCTGGTATTTGGATTTCACATAAAATTTAGTTATGGTGAGTATGGACTATATACGCTCTTGTTGAGAAAAAGCACTTTTTGAAGAGTTCCAAGTAAGCCTAAATTTTGATATCTTATGGGGATGATAGATGAATAATTTTATAAGGCGAAGTGTATCCGACGCAGTTTGAATGTAATTTTTAATTCGTTTTTTTTTCTCCGTAACGGATAAACTAAAGCGGAAACTTAACATATCTTTAAAAGAAAAGGAAAAGTTAACATAACAATAATCACAACAACAATAACGATAACAACAGCAACGACCGCAAAAGAGTGTTGACATTATACTAAAGATTGTTGTACGTTTGTTGTCTGTTGATTGGTTTACGGGTAGTCATGGCAGTCTTTACATGTGAACAATTTTTACTGGATTCATTTCGCTCTCAACTGCTGAACGTAGCAAACGTTAAGCTTCCGCTTTTAGTTATTAGTTTTTATTTTATTATTTTTTTCGTGTTCGTGTAGCGTTTTCTGTTTGCGTTATCGGTTCGTTCATTTCTTTGGGGAGATTGGCTTTAAATTCCTACAAGTGTTTGTATTATATTGAAAATTCTTTATTCACAATTATATATAAATTTTTTTTTTTTTTTTTTCGGTTTTGAATACTTTGTTACACTTCGATACACAACACTTTCAAAATGTTTCAATAAAGCTTCAAATTTTTTTTGAATGTTATATATATGTAGAAATTTTTTGCATTATTTTGCCGTTGAAGTGGAATAAAATAATTTAATTTATTTATTAAAATGTAAGTTAAAAGTTGAAAATTATACTTTGAATGCAAGAAACGTGTGAGAATAGTTTGTGTTTAGTGAATCAAACGTAAAGTTCGAAATAAAAAGTCAAACAAGTGAAAAGAAAAAGTTGAGTAAGAGTAGAGCAGAGAAAAAAGGTAACAAAATATTATTTATGCGTATTTATGCATATGTGATCGTGATTCCGAGCATTAGAGACGAGTCTTACATCGCGCTCTGCAACTCTTTAAGTGATTGAATTATGTTTTTTTGTTTTTTTTTGTTTTTTTTTTTGAAAGCACACAAACAACGTAATCCTATAACAAGATGGATGTGAAATTTTTAAATATCTTTCTTGTGGGCTTTGGCTTCATGCTGCTCTTTACAGCCTTCCAAACTTTGGCTAATATCGAGGTAAGAATTTTACTATTAAGTGTTCAAGCAATACTTACTTACAAGCTCTTAATGGTGAGTCGAATGTTACGTTTGGCAACTATTAGAACACGCTCGCCGAAAAAAATCTCCCCGAGGTTTCCCCAAGGGTCTGGTCTAAGTACACACATCCTCGATCAGCGTTTATCTGTTCAACAAGTTTATTTAGAAGATCTTTATTGTTGTTAGTCCCCGCTTTAGAGAAAATCCGGTTTTCGCTTTCAGTCACTTATACATAAAAATAATAATAATTAATAATTGTTTAATAAATTTAATATTTAAAAATATTATCTCTACGTCCAATGAGTTCGCTGTTGACGTTCTTCTAACTTAGCATTTTTTTACATACGGAATTTTTAGACTCATTTCCGTCATATGACAATGATGTTAAATTTCTCGAATTTTTGCAATTATGGCTCGTATCTGCCGCCCCTTCTTATATTGCGCTCTCTTAACACGCAAGTCTTTATGTGACAAGAGGGTCGAATTATGATTGTGATTAACCCAGAGTAGTAATTTAGTGTACTAAGTTGCTGTGACCTGATGATTGGACCACATGAATACATTTTGCGAGGCACTTCCTATATATAGGGGAAGTCAGCCTTCATATGGCAATAAAGCATAATTTTAGGCATTCTCTGAATAAGAAGTTATTGACCCCATCAAAATGGGAACATTTCGGTTCAGCTTTCAGATCTGCTCACGTATCGAAGGCGAGTGTTTTTTTATGACGGGATTTAGAGAAGTATCGTGTTAGGCGATGTGCTGTAGCGCACTTAAAATGATCGAACTTGCTCTACTATAATCTTCTCCTTATTTTACTTCAGTCGCAGAAAATAGTCGCTTTCGGTATTTTAGTTTTAAGCTGCGTTTCTTTTATTAAGTGAATGATGACAAATAAACTGAATTATATGAATTACTATCAGTTCTCTTATAAAGGATATATAAAAATGAAGAAAAAGAATCATGAAAGGAAAACTAAAAAAATAAATAAATATAAAGAGACCCGCGTAAGTTCTCGGTGTTAGAGTAGTGAATATTCTATTGAATTATTAACAGATATATATATATATGATTGTCTTCATCATGCCTGGGATTTTCGTCTTCATGGTCGTTGACTCATTTTTATTACTTAACCTTTTTTTTTATTTTACTTTAATTATACTATGTACAAGTCTTTTCTTCAATTTAGCTCGAGATAAAAGATTTTGAATTATGTTTATACTATGGGAAGTAAACTGACTGAATTGTGTATGAGATGTTACGAAATGTTATTAGTTAATATAAAATAAATGAAAATAAGTAAGAAAATTAAATTCGGTCAGGACCGAATCTTTTATACCCATTGCCGTTTAGTTCGATAAAAGGACAAAAGAAACAAAAGAATAAAATCTCGTATTCTTTGAAAAGTATAGGTCAATTCTAAATTTTCGGAGAAGCACGGAGGAAGAAGGGAGAAGGTTTACCACAAATACTACAAAGTTACGCAAACAGACAAATGGACAGACGGACATGTTTAGGTGTATTCCAAATTTGGAACTGGCCAAGAATTTGTATACTTGAAGCTTGTTTTTGCGTGGGTAGACGTGGTCAATTTTTTCCATTTTTGTACACAAATGCTACAGCATCGCCCGTAGAATATGCGTTCAAATTTTTGTACATTTATTTGCCATAGTTTATGAGTAATGAGCAAAAAAACAATTTTTATTTACTTTTGAAAAGCAGAGGAGTTCTCAGTTTACCTGATACCGTGGGTGTGTTCTTCGACCGATTTGGCCCATTTTCAACACCAACCTGCTTGCAAGAACTTCCAACGATGTTGCCACATCTAGAGTCGACGGCCTTATTTTTGCGGCCAAGAGATTGTTTAAAACAGACATTACACAGACGGACAGCCGGACATACTTGAATCGATTTAATATCTCATGCTGATGAAGAATATATATACTTTGTGGGGCCTTTGATGCTTTCTTCTTGACGTTACAAACGTTTCGACAAAATCAATATACCCGCGTCATCAAATAGAAAAACACGAACGCAAATTCTCAATCACCTTTAAAATGCAAATAAATGGTGTAATTTTTTTAAAGTTCAATTTAATTAAGGAGTAACTTAACTTTTAAAAATATGAGATACCGCGATTATAAAAGCCATTAACGAACCGAGCGGCATGAATCTTTTTATTTTCTTAAATTGCGTGATTCTAAACCATCAACATTCTTAAAATTCATTCGAAAGTCATAGATTTCTTAGAAAAATACGGTTAACACAAAACAGCTTTGGCTGGATAAATTTTTCTAATACACGGTAAGCACGGCCAGGGCGAATAGAAAGGAACAACATTTGTATGAAACTTTCTACATCTATGATCTCTCTATATATATGATGCGTGCAATTTGTCGGCAGTTGAAAGGCAGTTACATAAACTAAAAATCAGGTTAACAACTGTTGCGGTTGTCTTTGGGCCAGAGCATGCCAGTGCATCAAATTTCATCAAATTATCAGATAAATTGCGCCCTACACGTTAAAAAAACAAGAAAGACTGACGGGCAGACAAGCGAAAGTGTTTTTCAGAGTCAATCGGTATAATACTAAAGCACAAACTTAATATGCCGTAGGGCATAAAAATCTCCCATAAAGTTAAGAGAACTACATGCTACATGCTGCTGCTTAGTGTGAGATAAAAATAAGTAAACAATGATAAAAATAATAGATCAATAAACGGGATAATAAAAATACAGGAAAATGAGCAGAGTAAAAGCTCTTTGAAAAAGGGGAACAACAATGAATGAAACTAAAAGTAAATAAGAATTCATAAATAATGAAAGTGAGAACAAGTAAAAGTAAATAAAAATATATAAAAATAAAAAAGAAAAGAACAAATGAAAACAAGTAAAAGTCAGTTAAGATTCATATATAATAAAAATGAATTGAATAAAACTAAACAATAATAATAAAATATAAATATATGTTAACTTGTGAAAATAAATATAAATCATTGGAAATAAATAAAAGTAAATAAAAATTAATAAATAATAAACTAAACGAACAGAAAAAAACAAAAAAAAAAATAAATAAATAAATAAAAACAAAAAAGAATACAAGGAAAATAAACAAAAAGCATTGGAAGCACATGAAAGTAAATAAAAGGTAACAAATAATAATAACAATACAAATAAATAAAAGTAAATAAAATTATATAAAAATTTATAAATGTAAATAAGAAAAAATGGAACTAAACAAAGAAATTGAAAAGTTAAATAAGTAAATAAGATGTGGTGGGCCACGGCCCGCCACTCAATAGCCTACACCGACCGATAGCCTATAACGACTTTTCAAGGCAAGGCATTAGGCGGGAAGTAGTTAAAAAAGGAAACCAATAGTTTTCAATAGCGTTTGTCTTTGGGCAAAAAAACTCCAGTGTATCCTGTTTTGAAAAAAAAATCTTAAGGATTGCGGATTGTAGAAAAACAAGCGGGGACAAGTGGACGGACGGACCGACAAGCTCAAATCAATTCAGAATCAATTTCTCTACAATAAAGCCAGAGTCTATCTGAGCGTCGCATACGTCCCCTTGTATCGCAAGTAGCGTAGGGTAGAACAAAAGAAAAATAAATGAAAACAAACGAACAAAAAGAAAAATGCAAAGGGAAAGAAAAGAATAGGAGAGAAAATAGCCGAAGAAACAGAAAGGCAACTGTAAGCTTAAAAGGCAGCAAAGTTGCGGGTTGAACGACAAACCGTTTACAGATTTATTTCAATTAGAAATCAAAAGTAATTGTCGCTTACCATGAAAATGTAGAATAGTAGAGTCCGAAAAATTGACATAAGTCCATAATTGGTTTTTCATTAAGGCAAGACGAACAGAGAGGAAGACGAAAAAAATGCCATTTAATATAATATAGTATCTGTACGACACACGCGGCATAAGATATCATACACAGGCAACGACTTTGATTTACTCAAAATTTGATAAACTTGGGAAAGTTGAGGAAGGAATTCGCAAAAACGGTTTAAAAATAGTTTCGCTTATGATTAAACACAATCTTACTTTTCTCCTACCCAAGCCAACTTTATTCAAACGATGACCTAACACAAGTGCCGATAACGCTATAATATATTATGCTTGCAAGACAACATGCGAATGTGATTATCTACGCATTATAGCTCACATAATTAGTATTCCAGAGCAGTCTCAGCTCTTTTTATGCTGTTAGCACTTTGTCTTTTTCTACAGTAACCTTGAGTACTTAGCTAACTTTTGATATGGGAAGGAAGTGACGAAAATCGTGATTTGATATTTGATTTTTTTTTATTCTTTCAAAAACTTATATGCATACCTTTTGCCTAAGTAATGCGTGATAATTAAGTAAATTATTGTAGCTTCACCCAAAAGGTTGCTTACTTTCGAAATCAAAGTAAAAAAAAAGGAATACACGTGTATTCTCCTTGAGGGGAATCTTGAATGCCAAACGACTCTGAAGTATATATAAATACTGTTATCGAGCATGAAACAGTCTGAGAATTTTGCAGTTGGAAAGTATGTGCTCTCAGTTGTTTGATAATCATATGTTACAAGCTGAAAATTTTAATTTGTTTCGTCTTGTTCCGCTTGTTAATTAAAGAAAGGAACCCTACCCTCGTCTGCTGTGTATGTTCATAAAAATTGATAGTTGGTCTGTAAGTGAAGTTCTGCACTCCGAGGTATTACATAAAACGCATTGATATCCATAAAAAGTCCTACCTATAGCGCAGTTCCGTGTTGCTTTCACGAGTAAGGACATCATGTACAGAAAACGACCCTCCCTAATCGACATGTTCAGGTTCAGTTCTTCTTTAAAGAGTAAGAACATTTTTTCGAAGCTTGATACCTTTTTCAGTTCTTCTGAGACGATCTTTTTGAGGTTTGATATATATCCTGTGTGAATAAAAGATCGTTACCAGGGCGACAGTTCAGTTTCCTTGCGATGGGTCCATTACAC